CTGCTGCTTGCGATGCAGAGCAGCGCTCGCGAGTCGGTTGGATCGGATGCTGTGGCGAATGCAGGGGAGCGTGCTGTCGCGGCCGTGCAAACGTGCCTTGCCCAGGCGCTGCTTTTAGAAGCGGGAGCCGCGGGACTCACGGGGGTCGTGTCGGTCAAGGCGGCCTCCATGCTCGACCTCACCGGCCTGATGCCCGCTTTTGTGATCGCTCTCACTGGCTTGGCCGTCCTGCCTCTTCAGCGCTATCGGCTGCAACTCGATCTTCAGCAGCGGGTTGACGAGCTGAGCAGTTCCTTGAACGAGGCGCTGCAAACTCACCTGGAAGCTGAGCTGCAGCACGCGGTGACACGCTCACTGGCGGCCGTCAAGCCGTTTCGAGAGCACGTCGAGCGAGAGCACGCCGCCCACGAAGAGAGGCGGGGCATGCTCGACGCGGTGAAGGCTGAACTGAGCGCCATGCACTTGGCATTGGAGAGGGCGGAGCGCCCGGCGGTGTCTATTGTCGAGCCAAAGACTTGAGATACTGAAGGGCGAACAGGTGAGACGTCCCTGTCTCACGGGTGTTTCGTCCCTGTCTCAACGCCCCCCGGGGCAGTGTCACAAATGCGTCTCAGTAATGTCTCACAAACTCGCACCGATCTCTGAGTTGAGTCTCCTCAATCGCCAAATTGCGGCTCAGGGGCTCAGCATGGTCTCTCTAACGGACCTGAGACGACTCATCAAGCAGCGGCTTGTGGCGTCTCACTGACTCACTCTCAGGACCAAACCCCGCCCTGCGCCGCGTCTCATTGTGGCTCAGCACTGTCTCAGAGAAGGAAGTGAGACGACTCACTTCGCTCAGGACTGTGACGTCTCAGCCCAGCCGTGAGACTGAGTGATACGCGGCCGAAAGAGACGAATGTGAGACGCATCCGAGACGCACCTGCGACACTGACACTCAGCACTGTGACAGCAGAGACGCTTGGAGAGACGCAGAGAGACGGAAAAATCATGCAAGTGAGATAAAGGATGAGCCTCACAGAGCGAGCGTGTGGTGTGGGGGCTGGGCCCCCCTGGTGCACACTGGTCACTGCGCTCTGCGGTATTTCTAGCGGTATTTACGTACAATCTACAAAAAAAAGAATTCTTCGGCGGGCACGTCGCGCCGCATGGTGGCCGCGCTGCGCCGCTCGCCGCTGGCGCGCGGTTGATCGCGGCGCCGACTCCGCGGCGGCGCCATCTCACGCAGCGGGGCGCGTCGCGTCGTCGGCGCCAAAACAGACGCGAGCTCGCGGCGCGGCCGCGGCAGCAAAAACATCAACCGTCTACTTCTCCTTCTCTTCTCGTCTCGTCTTGTCGCAGGCGCACACGCGCGTGACGTGCGCTCGTGTCGCCGCGTTCGCTCCGCGAAGGACGATTCGAACCGGGAGCCAGTCGGCGCAGCGGCGGCACGCGGCGGCAAAACGCACGACGCTCACCTCATGGAGATGCTGCTGCCTTGGCACCTCCTGATATAATGCTGATTTTTTGCTGAGCGGGGCGGAGGCACGCGGGCGGCGGAGGCGGCGGCGGACGACGTCTACTACCTGGCCGTCCCCTGTG